TGACGGGTAGGGGGGGCCGGCGCGGCGGTGGGCCCCGGGCCCGGGCCCTGTCCGTGTCCCGGCCTTCCGTCCGGGCGGACGTCGCGGCCCGTTACGAGCGCTGAGGCGGCCACCGCGGCCGCTCCTCTTCCTCCGAGTCCGCGCACAAACCGCGGCGAGGGGAAGCCAAGCCGCCTTCGTCCGTTCCCGGCGGCCTGGCTCTTAAAACGAAGCCGGCGGGGGGGGGGGGGGGGGACGCGCCGGTCGGAGTGCCGGCTGTTCGCCTGCAGAGACACGTTCAGCTCAGCAGGCCAGATTTTAAAATAACGTTACTTACGGGGAGGAACTTTTACTCGAATATCTCTTCGGGGGTGTCCGAAGGCCTGCGTGCGCTGCTGTGTGGGGGCACGAGTGGTTTGCAAACGCTGTTTTCACCTGTGGTGCTGCTGCAGAACCAGCTGTTTTCACCTGTGGTGCTGCAGAACCAGGTTTTAGATGCTTGTACCTTCATATTTTTCCAGCCGTGCTGCACGCAGCGTACACCGACCCAGCGCTGCAGCAGGAGCAGGAGAATAGGTAGACCCCTGTGGCTTTGGCAGGCTGGTAACGATTGCTGCGGTCAATCTCTGCACCTGGTTGCCGACCGTACAGCATAGCAGGAATCAGTGCATCCCGTTTCACCGGACTTCACCCTGAAACAGCAGGTCCTGAGCAGAAATAGGGAGGATCGGCCTCTGCTGACGGGACAACGGGACAAATGCTGCGGGAGTAGGGCAGGTGCTCAGGAGCAACAGGCTGCGGTACAGCCACTTCTAGAGAAAACAGCAGAGCAAACGGCATAATTGCTGAGAAGCAAAAAGAGAGCTGAGAAAAGATTACAGTACTTCTTTATTTAAGACAACTTAGATTTTTATCTCTGAGTTTAGATGCGTTAACACAGGCTACTCTGGAAGATAAGCCCTTCATTTCTGCAAATCTGGCTGCTTTTTTGACAGTGGTTCTCATTTTTGTTGTTGTTAATATAAAAAGAGCGTTCCTTCTCAAATAATGGACTTAACTGGTAGTACGTTTATAATATTTATGAGTTTTCAAGAAAACTTATTTACAATCCACAGATGTAAATCTGTTCTTACACGCTGGTTGACCATGCTATATCTGCAGGGAGATTTAAGGATCAGACAGACTGATAAAGGTTCCAGATGCTCAGTAGAAGGCAATGACACATTTTAGTGACTAAACTGCTCTTTAAAGTCTGATGTCTCCTCTTTGGGTTCCTGTGGGGTTTTTTTCCTTGAATAAGAATAGAGTGGTTTTGGGTTTTTTTTTTCACAGAACAGGTCTTTTTTGGCCAGCTTTCCTGGCTGATGGCCTCCTGAGTTGATTGCAATTCAGGAGTAAAGCAGAGTGTAGTTTTTCAGTGTGATGTTAGTACAGAAGTGTGGAGAATAGGAGTTAAATTAACTTGCAGTAAGGACTTTAAAAAACCCCCAGCAGTTTCTTCATCTACAGTAGTCTTTGTGATATTGAGTATGGATTTTGCTCTTTTAAAAAAAAATTTACAAGCAGATTTTTATAGAAGTGTAGTTAAAAGAGCTTTGTTTACCCTCAGTTGCTATTGCCAGTCTGTTAAGTCTGGCTAGATGCTGGTGTCAGAGAAGGGAGCTGTTAGCTGGTTGAAGAACCCAAAACCTCAGGCCAGGTCAGGTGGCAACACTTGAGACCAAGCCTCATATCCTCCATCTTCTGAAAACAAAATTATACTGAGGCTTCCCATGTGAAATCCTTTCCCATTTGCATCTAATGAACTTCTTCCCCTCTTGTTTTCTTTTAAGTCGTGCCCCGGGTGCCGGCTCCTGTAGAGGCGGGAGATGGTGCTATGTATGTACCTCTCCTAACGCACGATGAGCAGGTGGATGTGCTGGAGCGCCTTGACTTCGTGTTGAGAAACATTTCAGAGCTAAGAAAAGAAGTGGAGGAGCTACGGAGCAGCCTGCAGCCCTTAGCTGCAGAAATCATTGCTGAAGTCAGGTATCGACCCTGCCCCTTTCTGTCTTTGTCTACTGTTGCACGTATTTATTCCATAGCATGGTAAAGCAGCCGTGACTCAGTATGTTAAATTCAAAATCCAAAAGTGGAAAAAGTGTCTCTCTAGTTTCCGCTGGCACTGCATCTTGACCTCCAGTGAGATTAATTTTAAAAAGAATTGTATGTTTAGCCAGGGTTGGGGTTTTTTTTCTTATGCAGTATCAAGTAGTGACACTTGCTTCATATTCTAGACTAGGAAGGTTATTTGTTCTGTAAATGTTTGTCTCTTGTTACTGCTATTTTCTCTCTGACTGCTGCCAACTGTAGGTAACTTCTGATATAGAGTAAAAGGTCCTCTATTCTCCAAGATGTTTCAGGATTCCTTTGTTCATTGAGGAGATCAGAGGAATGTATGTGATATGATTACCTCTTTGTATATGGATTGCATATAGGGATTGTGTATGGACCAAGTTTGTGGTCAGATGGGCTTTAACTGTACAATATGATGCTTGGTGTATGGCAGCAGGATGTTTATATAAGCAAGAGTAAATCACCTTGTGAATTCTTTGGATATAAAGCAAATTGACAGAATCTGCTAGAGAGGAGAAGGGAAGTGAAATAGCAGATGTTTCACTATCAAATGTTTATCTGTTTCTCTTTGTCTTCCTCAAAGGTCCCATCTGGAAGAAACCCAGAAGGTAACTCGCCGGAGGCGGTTCCCATTTCCTAGGGAAAGAAGTGATTCCACAGGCTCCAGTTCAATTTATTTCACAGCCAGCTCAGGAACAGCCAATACGGATGATGGAGAAAGTGAAGGAGGGTAAGCAGAGCACCAGGTTAGAAGCAGCTTTTATGGGCTTTGGTGCCCAATTACTTACATCTGAGGAGTTTAGAACATAAAGGAAGGGATTTTTTTTCCCCACTAGGTGTCTGTCATCCTGGTTTTATTTGCTTTTATTACACTAAGCCTTCTACTGCCAGGGCCAGATGGAGAGAAGTGCAACAATTCCAACTTTTAGAGAAAGGGGGGGAAGAAAAAAACATATATATAGTTTTTGAGGGTTTTCTTAAGCAATGATTTGATTAGGGAACCTTGCAGGATGAAGGGAAGTAGAAGTCCAGCCTGGGGCTTGAGTGAGAGAGTTTATAAATAAAATTTCCATACAATAATATCTTTTAGAATGTCTGGAAAACTTTAGAAAGTTAAAAATACATTCCAGTTAACTAAAATGTCTTCAGCTAAGGTATTTCTTGTGGATTTTTCTCAGTGTGTCACACTGATCAGTTGTGTTGCTTAAGTTCTTGTAGCTTAAAAACAGGTGAAAAGTATCATGTAGTTTAGGAACATTGGTAAAAATTACAGTATAGATGCAAGTATTGTCATATTAGATAACAAGAGGTCTACTGCATACGTGTATGTGACTGCCGCCTTTCTGATCAAACATTTCTGTGCCTTAATAAGATGAATTCTATAGCTTTTGAGGTATGCAAGTATGTTGTAAAACATGCAGTACTGGCTGTATACATTCTCCCAGGGAAGTTGAAATGAAATGTAATTTAAGGAGAGAAGTTAATTATAGCACTGAGGGCAAGGCAGGCAGAATTTGGACCTGACATGCTGTTGGGTAGCAGGTCAATGACCAGTCAGCTGGTGCAAATGGGCACTTGGTAGCATGGGTTTGTAACGAGCGGACAAAACAGCAATTACTGTAGCAGCCTCCTAGAACAAAGGACATGGATCTGCAGGAAGGCAGGCTTTGTGACTGTCATAAACCCATGTCATTTTAGTATTTTATTTTTAGTAGTTGGAGTTGGTGAAGCAGGAAAGAGCTGATGTGATCTCATTCAGGTTATAGCACTGCTTCATTCTTCTGAAGTGGGTGTTCATATGAAAACAAAATTAGGGAGTAAGTGATTCATGGTGGTGTAATAGGTAACAAGGCTGCATAACAAATTTTAAAACTATATAGTTGGTTCTGAAGACAAGACCTTGCTATCTAGATAATAACGGATGCGTTGAGTCATTAGGGTGCCAATGTATTTTGTAAAGCGTGCTGAAAAGGGTGGTCTTTTTCAACAGATACCAGCCCTAGGTGTCATCTGAGCATTAGAAAATTTTAAGTCGTGATAGAGGCTGACAACAGTTCCAAGGTTCAGAGAAGGCATCCTCCTTAGGGGACCTCAGGTGAACTGGTGAGCAGGGATGTATTTCACTGCAAAACCCCATTACTTTATTGGGAACCTAGCGATGGTTGGAGGAGTTCTTACATTTTATTTAAAATCTGTAATTAGGTTTAATGACCAGTGTGGAGAATTAGCGGATAAGCAGCTCTCATCTGATTTAAAAAAAAATCGAATAGTATACAATTTCTCACTCTGGTATTTGTCCCATACAAATAGGTATATTAGTCTGTTCAGGCCCAGCTGCCTTTAGTGTGCAATACTGTCTTTTAGAGATGTAAATACTAAAATTTCTGGTAGAAAATCAGGGTAGAAAATGTAAATTTTGGAAAAGACTGTTCAAGCTTTTTAGCAGCCACTGGGAGGAAGAATGAGACTGTTCTCAACAGATAGATTTCAGCTGTGTATTCATTTCTGGCAATTGTATTCTTTTAATGAAATTCAGCAAGAACAACTCACATTTCAGCTTTATTTTGCAAACCACATGGACATAAGCATCTTCTCCGATTTCATATACAATTAAAAAAATCATCACGAACTTTCAGGAGCTCAGAGGTCTTGGGCTGCTTGATTTCTCTATATTGCTTTGGCACTGCTTTGGTCTTTTGGGCTTCTTTGCCTCCTCTTTCCATGTGCTTTTTTGTTGCAGCTAGTATGTTTTCATTTTCATTCAGGATGTGTGCTAGCCAGAGGCCTCAACATACTAAAACATTTAAGAACTTTCCATCATCGTAAAATTGAGAAAACAGGCTGATAACATCTAAATCCCTTAATCTTCCTGAAAACTCTGAGTTTGTGAAGTTATGTATGGTATTACTTGTCTTTTTAAACTGGCAGCATCTTGTATGAGCTGTTTTGGAGAAAACACATATTTGTGGTGGAGAAAAGAAGTGTGTAGGAGCCATCCATTGCTGCCTGTTTTTAAAGACCATATTGTGTTTCAGGAGCCTTCAACGTGGAAAGTGTTTTTCAGCTTTTTCAGCTGAAATCTTTGCAGCTGCCAGTAAAATGTTGTAGTGGGACAGTATCACAACTGTGTGCGTAGCCCACAACTGTGCTGCATAGTAGGTTAGGATGGGAAATAAGAGAATTTGAGGAGTTTGTGTTTTAAGTACCAAAAATGAGGTAGTCTAAAGAACTAATAACATCATTAATCTTAAGAAAACATCAAGAAATGAAGCTTTTAGTCTGAAACGGAGCCATGCCAGTGTCACCTACCACCATGTTGCTACATTATCCATTAATTGAGTGCTGCCTACATAATGTCCAGCATGTTGTCTTGTAGTGCTTGCTTTCCTGGCTTTGCAGTGATAAGGCTGCCTCTTACTTTATTTCTTGTCTTAAAATGCTTCAGTGCAAAGTGGTGCGTTTTTAAATTTATGGATGAGGATTGGAGGCTGTGGTGAGTGAGGGTATTTGTGTACCCTCTACCAGAGAAGGAAATGCTTGGGTGTTATTGATGGTTCTCAGAAAGTGGAAGCTTTGATAGCCAAATGCATCTTGTTATCTATGTGTGGCCAAATTACTGTAACTGCTTTCTTCAGATATGGACTTTGGTCACGTATCTTTGCCTCCAGACAAAGGCAGCTTCACACACAGAATGGGAGGCTCTCCCTCGGAGGAGAAATTCAGTCAGGGCAAAAGGGAGTGTGGCTGTAGTTACCGAATGCCCCCAGGCTGCAATGACTTTTAATTCTAGCAGAACTTGTAAAGTTGGCTTGGGCACAGTTTAATTGGGTAACAATTGCAAGCATCCCCTAGAATTAGGCGTTTATGGGATTTGAAGTAGCTTGCTTCAGGAAGAGAGCTTTCTATTCAGATAAATCAACAAAATCCAAATATAAAAGTGTACATTCTTAAATTACTGGCTGACTTGCGCTTATTCTTCGGTTAAGAGCTTGCAGATAAGTGTGAGGGGGACAAATAGTTGTCTTTAAAAAAAAAATTAGTTTTGTAAATAGACACCCTGCTGCAGTGGTATCAGTCAATACATAATCCTGTTTCAAATTTCCAGCTTAGGTGCTTGTATATGATTTGTGAGAGCTTAATTTTAGCCATTTTAAGAACTTTGATCTGAGCTTTATCCTGGTTCCTTTGACTAATTTAGCAGATAATCATTGCCCGGGTGTTTGTACATGTGGTGTCTTTTTGTGGCTCATCTGCTGTCTCCTTGCTGGACTTCTTGCTCATGGGAAATAGTTTTGATTGCTCTCCTACTGTTTTGCACCTTTTCACATGTCAGTGTGAACAAGCTGTTCCATATTTAGCGCTCAGACAAGATGATGGAGGTACTAGATACTGCCAAAACAGCTATTGTGTCTGAAATTCCCTGGAACAGGCTAAAAACCTCAGGTTATATTTTCCACATGGATGAGCATGTCGGATTTTTTGTTGAAATTCTCTTTTATAATCCATACATTTAACTGAATTGTCCTGGCTCTGTTCTTAGTTGTTTAATTCTCTTACACTGAAGTTCGAAGGCCTAACAGAAGCTGTTACAATGTGCAAGTGAGATGTGGACACTTGTGACTGCGTTCTACTTAACTTTTGGGGGGCCTTCTTTCTTCAGCTTTTTGACGTTGTGTATATTACATGAGAAATAATGATTGGTGTGTTATCTGAGACCCTTGGATTGTACAGGGTTCTCCAGGATAAACTCAGATACTCGTCTTCCTCTGTTAGGAATAGTTGTTTTTTCTGTGACGTATGTATAAAACCGTCATAGGCTGCACAGCATGTCCTCAAACTAATTTTGCTTTGGTTTTGGTTTTGTTTTTTTTTTTCTCAAAGGTACACCACAGCCAACGCCGAGTCTGATTATGACCGGGAGTCCGAGAGAGAGAGCGAAGAAGGAGAAGATGAAGTGAGCTGTGAAACAGTGAGGACTGCGCGACGGGATTCCCTGGATCTCGTCAACGAGGATGAAGCGCCTTTAATCTTAGATTCCTCGCTAGAGGAAGGACTGGGTCAGCTACTGCAGCAGGCTGACCGCTTGCACAATGGGGATGAGCAGGAGAAGAGAGAGGGATTCCAGCTGCTGCTGAATAATAAACTGGCGGTAAAGGTTGCCTTTTTATATTTTCCAGCAGTGATTTGTGTTTTCAGCTAAATAGCTGGGAAAGAGGAAATTGCATATCTTAGCAGGGTCCAGGTCCTACACAGCAACTGGGCCAGCTTCCAGTGGCCCCCTTCCTCAGGAGCAGCTTGGGAGCGGGCTGAAGGCCAATATTGTTCAGGCTGCAGCAGCAGCTGGTTCCCAGTCGCTTTCTGTCTTGGAACTCTGTGTCTCATCATGTCATCACTTTCCCTGAGTGAACACACTGTACATGTGTAAAATAACAGTACTGTGTGTATACAGTAAACTCAGCAAACGTTTTGAGGATGTTTACCTCATTGCATATGCAATGGCTCGATCTTTATTCAGGAAACTTGGTCTTTTTGAGGGCTGCCCAGTGAACGTGTGTGGTGGTTCATGAAATAAATAAGTTGCATATTCAAACAGAAGGGTTAGGCAACACTTACATATATATTAGTTAATGAGATTAGAAATCCAGATGGTGCAGGTGTTATACCACCTTAAAGAATGTGTTTCTTTATATCCTACTGGCGATGTGAATTGATCCCCTGATTTAGTGGACATTGGCGCTGCCGTTGAGGTGTGGGAACATAGCAAGGGGCAGTGATAGTTTTACTCTAGCTATTTACTCTATAGCTAGCTTATACCTCTGGCCACAGGCAGTGGGTGTGTCCAGCATTGCAATGTGTCTTGCTGCGGCTGTTGTGACCTACGGCAGCCGGTGTAGGCATGCCCGTGCCTGCTGCAGTTGCACTGTCAGCCTCTGTTAGTGTTTACCAGAGTGCTGGGTAGCCAGCAAAGAAAACATTTTGGGTTACCAGCCTTTTAAAGAGCAAAACCATTTTGGCTTCTGTATTTCCAGGAGAAATAGAAGAAAAGAAATAACAGATAACTTGATCAGTTCTACTGTCAAGTAGATTTTTTTTTTTTTCCTTCCCACGAGGAAGAAATGACAGGCCTGTTTGCTTCTGAAATTCTCTTGCATGCTTCTTTCTGGTGATTCCCCCACTTTCTTTTATTTGCAATACTGTCGCAAAAGAAACCAGACTGTTAGGTGGTTGTGTTTTAATTTTCTACTTTTTTCTTTTTTTAAGTAAGTTTGGTTTTGTCAGAACATATCTGCTTCCAAATTTAGCAGTACACCTACAGTACTCACCTGGGTTTAAGAATGAGGCAGGGTGTGAAACTGTTTGAATGTGGACTGAAGCATGAAAAAGGTAAAATTCAGTTTGTGAATTTTAATGAAGTGGTGAGACTTAGGGTGATTTTTTTTTTTTTCCCAGTGTTTCAAGGTTAGTGGAGACTGCTGAAGAACTGACCCCAGTATGGCCTTTGAAGGGGGGGGTTCCTTGTTAGAAGGTGGCAACAATTAGACCCGTACCAGTGGTGTAGCATCGTAAGCTTAATTATAAAGTTGGCTGTCCAGTTTGCTCTTTTGTGGTTCTGCTGCAGTTCTTGTAGAGCTGGGGCCTTTTAAGGTTTCAAAAGATGTCTGTGCAACTTCTAGGATATGCCCCAACTTGATTTTTCTTTCTCATGCTCTTTGTCAGTGGCAGAATGGGTCTCGATATATAACGTTTATGTTTTTACTGCAGTATGCAGACCAGAAAGACTTTCTTTGGCGCCTGGCCCGAGCACATAGTGATATGTGTGAAATCACAGAAGACGCAGATGAGAAGAGATCATATGCATCTGATGGTAAGGAACTGTGTGTTTGAGGCAAAGGAAGGAGGATGTTCAAAGCTCACATTACACTTCAGATTTATAAACCCCACACTTGCAAACAATGTGGTGCTTTTTTTTTTTTTCCCTTGTAATCTTTTTTTATGGTGAGTAGCTAGCACTACTGCAGTGGTATGTTTAAAATTTTTGCTTTCTGAAAGATAGTATAAGTAGACCAAAGGCTAGTTAAAGGTGTAAAAGTTTGTTTCTCAAATCTATTATCCATGTCCTGTGTGGTATTAAGATAAATAAGTTTTTCCTGTAATGCATTTAATTTTTTGTGTTGCTAAATGTGTGTTTACTTAGAGGAATCGATTTAGTTTCATTCCTTCCTCTTCTTCACTATCTCGAATGTGGTTTGTTTGCAAGATTGTAGGTGGGTCAGAATAAAACAAAAAAAAGATCTTTGTTACAGTTAAGATGTGCAACAAAAGATACTATTCTAAATAATTTCTGTTCTGCTTATTATGCATATAACTAAATATAGTTAGTTAATAGTTATATTAGTTATAGTATTTGTTTCTGGAAATCAGTGTGGCCATTTAAAACATGAAATTTTAAGTTTTATTTTGGTAGTCCATTTAGCCTTCGATAGCCGCTTAGTTTTCACCTATTTGAGACTGTAGGTTCTTAGAGGAGAGAGGGGGAAGTGGGGCGGGTCCTAGATCTGAGGCTGTGAAATGCATCAGAACAAAACCACTGAAAGCTCTAATTAACTTTCCTTAATATGGTGTGGAAGATGTTTTCATTATAGATAACTGTACTTCCAAATGAGGTGAAACCATGTTGACACGTCAACACAATTTGCTACCGTACTACACTTGGAGAGATGACGCAAATTTGGTCTTAGATGTTCCATATCACTGCAAGAGTATGAAATTATTTATGGGACATTTTCAAGCCAAATGTATTATACAATTAAAAAAATATATGACTTTTATGCCATTCTATTATTGTACTCTTAACTGCCTCAGAGAAAGAAGTTAAGAGAGAAAGTGGCTGAATTTCTTACCGCTGACCACTTACTTGCAGGGAAAGAAGAGATAGAAATTGCCTTACAGAAATGGGATCAAAGTGCTGAGTGCCATCAATGGTATGTAACTTTTTGCTTCTTGCTTTTAAGCAGCATAGGAAAGGGACTTGGAGATTGTTGTGAGCTAAGCTGCGTTTAAAAACTAAAAAAAAAAAAAAAGAAAAGCAAAAAAAAGCTTATTTGCTCTTAGTTTGTGTATACCACATTGATGTTATTTTCCATAAAAAGCCATTTTTAACAGCTTTGGTTAATTGTCATAAGTAATGGCTTGACAGATGGTAGGTTTGGTTGTGATTATAGTAATAAACTTTGCTTTGCTTATGCCAATTTAATTATAAATTTCTCTCTGAGATGAGATGGCCAGAGGAGTTCTTGAGCAAAAGCTCCCAGATAGAATAATGAACTTCTTTGGATACTAAGAACAGATTGTATCAAGGCTTTTGTGAGTCTGCACCTAAGATGAACTTTGGTGGTGGCAGTTAAGGATGAAGTTTTGGATGAGGCTTGGAGAAACAAGCTATTGACAAAATGAGCTTGAGATGAGTAAGTACAATGAGCTCCATTTGGTGTTCACCAGGCTAAATTTAGCAGAATAAACTGCATATTCTTTGGGCTACTCGTCGCTTAAGTGCATATATTTTGAAAAGGTGAAGTGAAGGAAAGCTTGTTTAGAAGCTTTCCTGGGAATTGTGCAATTTTCCTTTCTAAAAGTGGGAGACAATAATTTGCTCAGCAGCTGGCTTTTGGGCCCATGTATATGCCTGGGTGGGAGGCTGCAAGTGTCTTGACTCAGAAATGAGCTGAACTCTGTAAGCAGCACTTTTGATTGTGCAGACCCTGGGAAAACGCCTATCGGAGTGCCCTGTTCTGTGCTGGGTGTAGATGGGCTGCCAAAGAATGTGTTTCTAGCGGATAACTTGCAGAAAGCTAGTTCCTGAGTTTGAGAGCTCAGTATGGTGAGGCTCTCTTTTCTTTTCTTTCATGAGTCCTCTGTTTCCTTTGGCCCCTTTTCAGCCCCCTATAGAGTAATGTGTATATCCTTCAAAGCCAAGCTCTCAGCCAGCTGCACAGCTGTGGGGGCAAAGTCTTAAGTGTTACATGTTAAATATGAATGAGGTTTTTCCTTTGTGTTCCTCCAACATTCTTGGGTTAATTGTTGTTTTTTACTCTGTTATTGACATTTCAGTAATGTTCTGCTGCACAGAGATGCTTGCTTTATGTCAAGAGTTGATATATTTGCCCCAATCAGCTAGGGCCGTGAGCGTGGGCTTAGTGCTGTGCCAATGTTCTTATATTCATCTTAATTCTGGAGTAAGTAGAAACATCCTTCTTACCAGACAGACTTTTATAGTCTCCTGGAGAGTGTCTGCTGACCTGGCACTTTTGTATTCTGCTCATGGATGCTGCCTGTCACTCTGCAAAGCACTCTGGCTTTGAAATGAATTGAAACAGCAGCATATGGCTTTTTTTTTCTTTTTTTCTTTTTACAATTTTTTTTTTCCATGATAAAAGATGAAATGATCTGCAGTTTAGCCTAGCAAGGTGTGCTGTGTTTGTATAAATGCTGCAGCTGGTTGGGATTTCAGTAAGGAGGTAGGCAAGAGGGAAGGTACCTTGCTCTCTTCAGCGGCATGAATAAACAGGCTTTGGTTGCAACTCATGTATGGAATTGAAAGGATTCCTCTCCTTTTTTCAAAAATACACCAAAAGAGAGTTTGTAGAGTGGTACAGGTATTTGTAGAAGTAAGGGAATATGCTTTTCTGGTATTCTGGTGAATTCCTTGATGAACAGTGTTCATCAGCAGTAACTGTGAAGGACTGACAACATGTAAAATAGAATGAGAGAAATGATTTTTTTTTTTTTAATGGAAATTATCGGGAAAACAGAACGCTGAAGATCTTTACCAAACAAGATCTGCACTCTTCTGAGATGAGTAAGTTTATTCGGAGGATTGGTTTGGACAACTGGCATCTAAATAAATGCCTTTATCGTCTTGAAAAGACTGTGTATTTTAGCTCTTAGTAATGAATTGCTGTTCTCAATTAAAGCTTTGATATGAAGGAAGAATACTGGGACAGACAATATGACTAATCTCTAGCAGATTACGGTGTTGGGCTTTGTCTGCTGGCTTAACATCTTGAAGGAATGGGTTTTCCGTTGCCAGGCTGAGGCTTAAAGTTTGTAAGCCACTTTGATACTCAATCATTTGATATTTTACAAAGCAAGGTTCTACTTCAGGGTAAAATATTGATATCTTAGCTTTGTAATTCAGAGTTTATAGTGTGCAGAATTAATGGCTGTAATGTGATGTTTAGTCATGTGTCACCAGTAGAAAATCTTAAGCCTTTTGAGCTGAGATGTTCTCAGTGCCTGTGTTACAGCCTGTGCCCACCTCTTCCCACAGTGGTTTTGGTGAAAGAGTGCACAATTCTTGTCCTCTTAGACTTGTCTCTTTTCCAAACAGGGGTAAGGCTTCTGCACATCTACATCTTGCTTTTAATTCTAGAGAGCAGCTGCAGAAAGGGCAGCTGGAGAAAGCAAATAGCAGAGCAGCATGTGGGAGGCATGGGATTTACTGGAAATGAATATGTAACTACCTTTATCAGTCACAGAAATAATTATTTTCTACGATGAATAGAACAGGAAATTATTCTCTTTCCAGCTCTGTATGGGTCATGGGATGGTCTCAAGCTGTTTTGATTGCAGTCTCTTTTTATGCTAATTGAATTTACCCTGAGAAAAAAATTGTTGCTCATGAAATGGTGCTTAATACATTAAAAGATACATGTATGTGAAAAATGTAGCTTAAAACATAGTTTCAAAAGACATTATAGGTTGTTTTCCCTTTACTCAAGTAATGGGCACATTGCTCAGAATTACGTTTAGTTCACCATGCTGTCTGTGGTAGCAATGTTTAGGAAAATACAAAAAAACCTTGTCAGAATACAGTGATCACTTTCCTTCAGTGTGCCATCCTTACCTCCAGCAGGGAGAAATGCAGAGGTGAGTTCATAGCCCGTGATGGGGCTACTCTCCATGAGTTTGTGTAATCTTGTTTTAGCCACTTGGTTCTTTTCGTTTCCATACCATCCTCTGGTACTGATCCCCTGTGTAGAAAAAAACCTGCTTACTCTGTTTGAAATTGCCTGTAGAGCTTTTAAAGCTTTTTTGGTTTTGATTTGATGCCCTAGCTTTTTCTTTTCCACAACATACTAAATGGACATTTTAATAGAAATATTCCCAGTGATTTTAATGTCCCTTCTGTGTGATACAGGCTGTGTGAAGCCTGTGATTGTATAGGTCTTGTTACAGCTGCATTTTTTTCTGTGTGTGTTATTTCATGTTTACTGTAATTTTCTGTTTTATCAATTGCCACTTAATGCTTTTGGATTACTTAAGATGCAGTTGTGCTGGGTTTTGGTGTTTATTCATTGTTCTCTATGCTGTATTATTTGCTTCTGTTGCACAAATCATTCCCTGTTTTATTGGCTTTAAGGTGTGATGCTTGTTGAGCAAGACGGCAGATACTTTGCATACAATCATTGCTGCAAGTAAAGCTTTTTTTCCCCTCTCTCAGTGCCTTGTAGTTGTTGCAGTCATGACTGACATTTTAAAGCAACAAACAAAGAAAATAACTGTGAACGAGAAGGGATTTCTGAGTGCTCGCAAAGGCAACACTGAGTGGAGCGTGACTGGCTGCAGCTTCAGAGCGTTTTGTGGCTGGATGGTTTGAAGGCTTTGGCAGCATGATAGTAAGTGGTTTGTCAAGAATGATAGAGAAAGCAGTAAGTGTCTGGGACTATGTCTGGGACTAGCTTTGGGATCTGCCCAAATATGAAGGAGAGTCCTTTCATGGATCTCTTGGGTCTTCTTGACATTAGATTTGATACAAAGCTGTTATTGTAGTCGCTTGCTCTTGGAGGTCAGCTGGTCCCAAGAGAGCCATCTTCGCAGAGCTGGTCGAAACAGAACTGAGATTTGATCAGGGCTACACAGACAAGTCAGCCTTTGTGCAGCGGGACTGATCTCTGGCTGTGCTTTCCTTGTAGGCATTGCTTAGGAATATAGAAACGTGAGAGTTGTGTTGGACGTTTGATGTATTTAGTACCTTTAGAATAGATTTGTGTATTGTAGGCTGATTGATATTACACCAAGTGTTAATGCCTGTATACTCCTGTCTTACAACTACCTGGTTCTTACTTTTGATACGGACATCAAAGTCATTCTCTGCTTTAATTGTAAAAGATCTCTGAACAGATAGATATTACGTCCAACTAAATTGATTACTCCCTTAGTTGATTTCGCTCATGAATAGGAGGACAGAGCAAGTTTGTAAGTCTGTTCTTGCTTGCTTTTAGGGATAGATGGAAGAGGCATCGATCATTGTACAAACCTGTGCAGTTTGCTGCTTAGACATGAATATGTCACATCCTCACAAATGAAGTGAGAGAAACAGTTGTGGCCTTGTTAGAACCCCCTGTCCATTTTGGTGTGGCTGTTTGCAGCACAACTGCAAGCATGTAACAGCAGCTTCAGGGATCAGGAAAGGATAGCGAGCTACGTGTTTGCCTTGGCTTCTACTCCTGTTGTTAAAAGAAATATTGGAAGTACAACCAGAGTAGCGAGGGATTTCAGAGGTCCATCTGGGAAAAAATTTGCAGGTGCTGTATTAGCAGCTTTTGTTTGAGTTGAATATTTCACATTGGAAATTCAATGCTATTTGCTGACTGCTGAAAGCTGTCATTGCAGAAGAAGTAATAAGCTTTGGCCCTCTTGGAGATAATATGTTATAGAGAAGCGGGAGGAGGATACGTTCTTGGGTTGGATGACGTTCTGAAATGTGCCCTCTCTTCTAAAGAGTCTGTCACTTTGGTGGAGCATCTTGCACACTTGATAGCCACTGAATTGTGTACCAGCCCTCTTAAATTCTGTTCGTTCGTCTGGCTGTCCATGGGTAGATACCATTTTTTAAAAAAGTGACAGCATTCTGGATATGACTCGAAGATAGCTTTAATTTGAAGAACTGGCATTATTTCAGGATTTAACTCTTCCTGGGTTA